ATCATATTTTGGCGCAGGGGGTGCAGGGGGCACACTTGGTGATGCTTGGGGGTTACTCCTGTGCTCAGAATTCACTCCTGGCAGAGCTCAGCACACCACAGGATGCTGGAGATTGAACTGGGGACAGCAGCATGCAAGGCAAGTGCCCTACCCACTATGTTATCTCTCCACTCCCTATACTATATATTTTTTGCCCTCAAATACCAGTGAGAAGGCCGGAGCAGTAGTATAGTGGGTAAGGGTGTTTGCCTTGCACACAGTCAACCCAGGTTCGATCCCCAGCATCCCATATGGTCCCCCAAGTAATTCCTGAGTGCAGAGCCAGGAAAGATTTCTCCTGCCCCTTTCACTGTAAGCAGTGTGCACTGTGGGAGGTGGCCTCCAAACTGCACTGCACTGCATGGTCCTCCCATTGTTCATCGATTTGCTCGAGTGGGCCCAGTAACATCTCCATTATGAGAATTGTTGTTACTGTGTTTGGCATATTGAATATGTCACGGGGAGCTAGCCAGGCTTTGCCGTGCGGGCAACATACTGTCGGTAGCTTGCCGGCTGCACACAAGGCAAAAGCTATCGCTCCAAGCTAAAGAAAATAAAAACCAAAAAACTAAGTAGATTAAAAATTCAGATGTGGAAAACTCTGTGTGTGTGTGTGTGTGTGTGTGTGTGTGTGTGTGTGTGTGTACGAAGCAAGATAGTGTTTATGAAAACTTATTTAGAAAGATGTGAAGCGTGTGTTCAAGAAATATCACAGGCTTGAAGAGCAAGTTGGGATGCTGAAAATTCTTAAAGCATTAGAAGAAACTATGGCAAGAAAACTGTTTTCTTGGTATGGAGAAGACCTCTCCGAGTCAGTCTTTCAAGGAAAACTGCAAAGAGAAGAACCAAGAAGATGAACAAACTCTGAATGATGAATTTAAATAAAAGTCACAAAACTAAGTATAGTTCTGTAACTACGCACCACCGTAGAGTCACAGTTATGCTTATAAAACAGAAGTGAAAGGGGCCAGGAGAAATCTTTGTAACGCATACAAGGGCAGTGATCCTTCTGTGGAAAGAAGACTTAGAAGGACGGAGGGCAACTCTATGGAAAAGCTGACAAAGGACAAAGACCAGCATCTCTCCGGCCTGGCTACATAAAACTCACAAAGAAATTTCAAGAACTTAAAATGACAAATGAGGGGCTGGAGTGATACCTGGGTTCGATTCCCAGCATCCCATATGGTCCCCCGAGCACCGCCAGGAGCGATTCCTGAGTGCATGAGCCAGGAGTAACCTCTGTGCATCTCTGGGTGTGACCCAAAAAGAAAAAAATAAAATAAAATGACAAAGGAGAGGTCGGAATGATAGTACAGCGGGTAGGGCTTGCATGCATCCTGTATGGTTTCCCAAGCACAGCCAGGAGTAATTCCTGAGTGTAGAGCCGGAATTAGTAACCCCTGAGCATCACCAGATTTTACCCAAAAACAAATGAAATGACAAATGAGCAGCTGGGGAAATGGCAAAGGGTAGGAGTTCAGATTCTTCATGTAGAAGCCCTAAATTCGCTCTCCAGCACGGCATGGTCCCAGCACAGCTGCGAATGACCCCTGAGCACCAGGTAAGAGGAGCCCCTGAACACCACCAGACCCAGCCTCCCATACAAGAATCAAAACAAACAAGAGTGTGCCCCGCTGGTAGGAATTAAAGGCTACTAGCGGGTCATTCAGTAACATGTATCCGACCCACCAAACTCACGTCCAGAGAGGCATCCAGAGGGAATATTCAGCAGGTTGCACCAAACGGCTTGGTGGAGAGCTGGTATTTAGTTGGAAGGGACATGAAGAATGAAATGGATAGCTGACTTGTTTATTAAACCCTGCAGATACCACAGGTCCATGGGGCCTGGACAAAACCCCTGTGATGCAAGCGCCTGCCAGCAAGAGGCACTGCCCCAGGGGAAGATAGTGTTGAGGATGAAGAGGTAAAAGCTCTGAGTTATGGGTGGGGCCCTCCAGTATTCTCATTTGTCTTGTTTATTTTTTGGTCATTTGGCAATACGGTCCTTGACCAAAGACAGTCAACAGGGCCAAAGAGATAGTAAAGGGTGAAGACCGTCAACCCTGTTCAATTCTCAGCACCACACGCTCCTCTGAGAACCACCTGAGCACCACCAGCAATGAACCCTGAGTCAGAGCCAGGAGCAGACTCCAAGCACAGGTAGGCACGTTGCAAAAAAAAAAAAAAAGGAAAGAAGGAGGAAGAGGAGAAGGAAGAGGAGGAGGAGGAGGAGAAAAAGGTGGTAGTGGTTTTCTTTAAAGGCTATAACAAGAGACCTCTGCCCCTCTCCTGCAAAAAAAAAAAAAAAAAAACCAACTCATTTTGATGGTGCTAGTTTTTTTTTTAAAGGTGTTTGGGTCACACCTGGTGATTCTCAGGGGTGACTCCTGGCTCTGAACTCAAGAATTAATTCCTGAAGATGCTCTGGAGACATGCAGGGTGCCAGGAATCAAACCCAGGTCAGGACCACGTAAGGCAAGTGCACTACCTGCTGTACTATCTCTCCAGCCCCTGATGGTGCTTTTTAATGAAAGTACTGTACAACCTATTTACTTAAAAATGAAGAAAATCCCATGATGAGGCTTACCGACATGAACTACCCCACAGACACCTGGGTTACATTTGAGAGACAACTGAATTACCCAAATCCAGTCAACTAAACTACTTCTGCAGCAACCGTTGTTGTCAACAAATGTGGAAAGGAGAAAATAAAATAGCCCTTAACATGCTCCTTGTGTATGAGCGACTTTTGTCGCGTTCCTTTCGAGCTGAAATAACATGGTTGGAAACCCCAGCTGAGCAGTGGTCAGTCATTCTGTAGCATGTGATTTCCTTCTCTCTTGCTTTCGTGTGGAATTCAGCGCGTGATACATGGGGATCCTTACAGATGCCCATAAAAATAGCCCCAACTTTTCTCCTCTCAAATGCCGGCCCGGAACAACCCAGCAAATCTGTCCAGACCATTTGGCAAAGGCACGAGAGGGCACTTGCACAGACAAAAGGGCTGTCGGGAACCGCAGAGGCCCAGGCAAGCAGCAAACCTGTGAAAAGTCAGCTGGAAGAAGTGAGTCCTGAATTGCTGGAAATCTCAGGGCTACAAATCCTGGATCCTGTGTGACTGACTTCCAAGGTCCCTTCTCAAGCTCCAGACTCAACCCAGCTCATAGGGATAGGGACCGGAATTTAAACATGCGTGTCCAGAGTCAGAGTGACAGGACAGCAGGTTTGCCGTGTACACCTGGGTTGACCCAGGTTCGATCTCCGGCAACTCACATGGTTCCCTGAGCACTGCCAGGTGGGATCCCTGAGTGCAGAGCCAGCAGTCAGCCCTGAGCACTGTCAGATGTGGCCAAATAAATAAATAAACAAGCAGGGCTATCTAAATGTCACTGGGAGAAATCAAGACAGAGGCAGCCCCCAGCCCGGAATGCTGTTTAGGGTAGAAAAATCTACCAGTGGCTCCTTGAGAGGACATGCTTCATACCCCAACACACCACAGGACTGTTCTCTACGCCGGAAGCCGCCCACTATGAGTCAATGAGAGGAATGATTCGAAAGAAAAGCTAAACTCTGAAGCCTTTTCCCCGAAGCTGGGATTTACCCGATACCACAAGCCTGTTCTGGAAAGTTCCGAGACAGGCACCACCTTCCACCCCTTTCTCCTCCTGAGGAAGTTTGAGGTGATTCATCAAAACGGTGCTGCAGCTGGAGAAAGACAGCGCCCCAGGCAAGGGTGGCCATCTGCACAGGGTGCCTCCACGGGGCACCTCTCTCCTGCCCCACATCCCCCACTCAGCCACAGGCTGGGGAGGCCAGGCCTGAGCATGCCCAGTGTCCAGCAGAGACAGACAGGGGTGCATTAGCAGGAACCGGCTGCCCACCGGATGAAGGTAAGAGGAGCCGGACACCTGTCACGTCGTCGAGGAAAAAGAGACCATCGGCAAACAACATCTCAACAGAGATGGAATGGACAAAGGCGGATACCCAGGCCTTTGGGGTGGGGGTGTCCCTATCCACTACTCAAAGTTAGTCAAGGTAACGCGCTAATCCCTTTGATTTAGAAGAAAAAGTCTGTGATGCCAGGCACTGGACCCAGAACCTAACACACTTGATTTACTTTGGAATGCAAAGTAAGACGGATGGGCACGAGACTATGAGGGCAAATATGTAAGGAAGTGACTGCAGTCAAATATCCCTGGTGGCACTAAGGTTGTGTGTGTGTGTGTGTGTGTGTGTGTGTGTGTGTGTGTGTGAAAGCCCTGGGTTCAATGCAGTTCCCAGTGCACTGTGTGTGTGTGTGTGTGTGTGTGTGTGTAAAAGCCCTGGGTTCAATGCAGTACCCAGTGCACTGTGTGTGTGTGTGTGTGTGTGTGTGTGTGTGAAAGCCCTGGATTCAATGCAATCCCCAGAGTACTCTGTGTGTGTGTGTGTGTGTGTGTGTGTGTGTGTGTGTGTGTGTAAGCCCTGGGTTCAATACAGTCCCCAGAGCTCTGCCCAGGAGCAATCCCTAAGCAACCTCTAAATACCAGGTGTGGCCAGAAATCAAAAACCAAAACAACAGACACTGAAACAGGACACAGTGTTTGCACTGGAAAGCATAGGGGAGGCCCTGGGGATAGCCCAGAGCTGGAGCACATTCATCCCACCCCGCACCCACAGCCGCCAATCCAGGTGTACCCCTGGTGACCCCAATGCCGTAAGAGGAAGCAAATGAATTCCAAAGCACCCCAGACCCAGAGGGGCGAGGCTGAACCACCTGCCCCCAGGAGCGTCAGAATGAAGGAGAGGGAGTGTGTGAGTGTGAGGGGGCGGGCCTCCATGTGGCCAGCGAGGGGCTCAGGGTCACCTTGCAGAAATCACCGGACACTTGGCCCTGAGCCAAGGTCACCCACAAGGACAGCAAATAAGAAATGAAACCAGTCTCACGGCTCAGCCATTTACACCAGCGCCCAGTGACCTACCTTGAGAACGACGGAGAAGTCGACATCCTTGGTTTCCTTCAGGCCAAGTGGAATCAAGGGAATCGTGAACTCCTCCCTGTGGGGAAGACGGCAGGCTGGGTGAGCCCCCTACCCCAGCCCCCCTGCACACCCACACCTGCCCTGGCAGCCAGCTCAGGGCCCCTCCTCTCCTCACACCACAGACTGTGGCGCAGTCCTGCTCCTGCGGGCCATCACCGCTCAGGGCTGGCACCTTGTACTGCCTGGGCTCCACAGGCTCCTGGGCTACACACACACACACACACACACACACACATACGCACACACAGTCACACACTCACGCACAAACATGCGCATGGTCACTCACACACGATGTAATCAAACATGCAAACACACACTCAGGAAGGCATTCACATACATACACATACACACACACACACACATATGCACTCATGTGAAGGAACTCACATATGCATATGCACGCGCATATTCACTCACACGCACACAGGCACATGCACTCACACATGCGTGCACACTCACAAACGCACTCACACATGTGCACACACACATGCATACACATGCTGAGAATCATGAACATACAGCATACAGGCACAATTATTCAGTCACACATATATGCATTGCCACATGCACTTCCACACTTTCACACATGCGCACACACTCACAAGCGCGCGCGCACACACACACACACACACGCACGCCCCTCTGCTGGCAGTCCTGCCTGCCCAGCCCTGTCTTCAGTGAGAAGCTTTTCCTCTCATGGCCTGAGAATCTGTCTGTGATGGGGGGTTGAAGCAGGGGCCGAGGGCTGGGGGCCAGGGGCCAGCTGGACCCTGTGCCAACCCCAGCACCCCCTCCCATGGGGGTTCCCCCCTGTCCTCATTGCCTCCAGCCCGGGCTCTGGGGCTCCCCCTCCGGGGCTTTGGGGCATACCCCTCTAGGATTCATCACTGCCCTTAGGGAGACTGAGTCCCCACTGCCCCCAGCCAGGGTCAGACTCTGGCGCACAGCTTCCTTTCCTGTCAGTCCCCCTCACTGACCACTCGGTCACCCCCGTCTTCAGGCAGAGCCTGCTGAGCTTTGCAGAGATTTCGCTCCTGTGTGCGGGTCTGCGAGCCGGCAGCAGCCAGGGCTGTGCCAACGGGCTTCCCTGGAGGGGGCGGCCAGGCCCCAGCGGTGGGGAAGAGCTGACCCAGAGTGCCCCAGAGCTGTCTCTAGCTCCGGCGGTGGGGCAGAGCTGACCCTCCAGCCTCTGGCTCTCTGGGAGCAGCAAGAATCCTCAGGGCCCTGGCGAGGCCAGCCCTCCGCAACCCAGTGCTGAGAGAACAGGCTCACTGACCGTGACTGCCAGGCCATTGGGGAGGGGCGGGGGGGCTTGAAGAGGGAGAGGGCAGCGGCAGGGGCCCTCATCAGTGTGCACTAGCTGCCCCACAGGGACTGACGGCCACCACTTGTGCACTGCCCATGGACCATTTCTGCGTTCCAGCCCCACAAGTAGAGATCGGCATCCATTTAGCCCCTCTGACACCCTGCCTTGCGTCCCCCAGGACCCCTGGGGCAGAGCAGTGTCACAGGGCACCTGCAGGGAGGCAAGTCAGGCATAGGCTGTCTGCAAGGTCCGCAGGAAGAGGCTCCACGCTCCCACGCCTCTTGGGGACTTGAGAGAACAATGCAGGGGGAGGGGGGTAAGGCCCGGTCCACAGGCTTTGTTCTATGCCATTCAGGAAATGGCTTTCTGTGATTTCCCTGGGCTCTCCGCCCCCCCCCCCCTTTATTTATTTATTCTTAATTTATTTAGGCTTTTTAGGTCATACCTGGTGATGCTCAGTGGACCATATGGAATGCCAGGGATCGAACTTGAGCGATAGTACAGTGGAGACAGGCTGGCCCTTCCCGTCTCTCTGCCCACTTGGGGTCCTGGCTGTCACGCCCACGGTCTGCCTTTGGATGCCATCTCAGCACATCAACAGCCTTGATCCAGAGACTCTCAAATGAATCTCAAAATGGACTAGCTCCCTACAGAGATGTCTCTGGACCCCAAACATTTACAATTTTAGAATTCCAGAAGCGCGTGGCTGCTTTTTTGGCCGCACGACCTCTCATAATATTCATAATAAGCAATAGAAAATAAATAATCGCGCATCTGCCCCTGGCAGGCAGGCTTGAATGGTGGTGGGAAAATTCGAAATACTGGTGGTGGGAAGGTATCATGGTGGTGGGATTGGTGTTGAAATACTGAATGTAATCAGTTAATGTGAATAACCTTATGAAAATAAAATTTTTAAAAATGTTAAGAAAAAGTGCTTCCATTCCAGTCTGTAGACACATCCCATGAAACCCCCATGAACTCTCACTCTGGCTCGCCCCACCCAGGAGCATTCCCCATTCTCCAGCAGGGGTTGCACTCAGTGTGGGTTTCATCTGCACGCCCTGCTCTCCCTGATGCATGTTCTGGGGTGAGGGCGTGAGCTGCAGCCACTGTGGATTCTTACTCTGTGTTCTGATAGACGCCCACGGAGATGTTGAGTCCTTCCAGCTCTTCCTTGAGCATCTGCAGGTTGGAGTTCACGTAGCTCAGTTCCAGGCGCACCTGCTCCCGGACCTTGTTGTTGGTAGCTGCTCTGTACAGAAAGGGAGAGAGAAACATTCTCAGACAAGCATCCCAACGGCCGCGGACCAGATGTCCCCCGTCCCCCATCCCCACTATCCACACAGAGAACCTGCAGACGGGAATGACACACGTGATGAGCTGTCTGGAGATGCTGGGCACCTGCCAGGGAAGGAACACGGGCCAACAACGTGCTCAGCACAAGGCCACAGACATGGGTGCAGAGGATCAGCATTGGTGACCAAAGAGACCATTCCCAGCCAGCATCAGCTACCCCAGTGTTCAATTCCTAGCACCACCAAAAAAAAAAAAAAAACCAGATGCACATAACGCCATGACCAACTGGGATTTATCCCAAGAATGCAAGGAGGTTAACTTAAGATTAGAAAACTGATTAATGGGCCAGCACGATAGTACAGTGCATCAGGGGCCTGCCTTGCATGCGCAGATCCAGGTTCAATCTCTGTCATCCCATATGATCCCCTGATCTCTACCAGCAGTGATTACAAAGTGCAGTAATGCTGAGTGCAGTCCTGGTGAGCTGGATAATCTCCAGGCACTGTAGGATATGAGTCCCTGAAGCACCACCAGGAATGATCCCCGAGTAAAGAGCCAGGAGTAAGCCCTGTCTGTGGATCAGACAGGTGTGGCCCCAACCCCAAAATAAATCAGATCACAGATCACAGATCATCCTGTTATTCGTCGATTGCCTCGAGCAGGCCCCAGTCTCCTTCATCCTAGCCCTGAGATTATATTCAAGGTTCTTTAGGAGAATGAGACCCATCATTGTTACTGGTATTTGGCATATTGGGTACACCACGGGGAGTTTGCCAGACTCTACCGTGTGGGCAGGCTACATTCGGTAGCCTGCCAGTTTGTCAAAGTAGGAATGAGATGTCATAATAAGATGTCATAATAAGGTTCCGGGAGCTGGTTTTTATAGTCTCTTATTAAATAAATAAATACATAAATAAAATGGGCAAAGATTAGAAAAAGCATTTCACTAAGGATGTATGCTTGGCAAACTAAGCCTATAAAATGATGTTCAATATCATTAATCAAGAGGCAGGAGAGATAATACAGCAGGTAGGGTACTTGCCTTGCACATGGCCAACCTGGGTTTGATTTTCAGGACCGCATTTAGTTCCCAAGCTTTGCCAGGAGCGATCCCTGAGCACAACGCCAGGAGCACAGCCGGTGTGGTGTCACCGCCCCATTCACACACACCCCCACCCCGTCCCCAAAAAGAGGAACATGCAAATTTAAAGCATCATGAGATCATCAATGCACACCTCTAACTTGGCTTTTTATAAAAAGGACAAAATAACGAGTGTGAGTGAGAGTGGAAAGCAAATAAAATGATCTGTTGTAGAATGGAGATGGTACAGCCATGCTGGGAAACAGCTGGAGAGTTCTAGAAAACAAACATTCCCAGGCTCAGGAATGGGCCACGTGCTCGGCATGCTAGAGGCCTGGCTTGAACCCCAACGCCACCTTAGAAGTGAGAGAGCACTGCTGGGTGTGACCCCAAACAAGAAACCAAAACACAAACCAGTAACTGCACTCCTAGGAATCAGGATGAGCCAGTGAAAGCATATGTCCCAAGACATGTGTGTGAACATTTAGCATAACGTTATTCACAAAAACTAAAAAGCGGTGCTTCCACAATCCAAAGCACCGCCATGTCCCTGACCTGACTCCACTGTCTCTGGATGGAATTCACCGAGATATAATCTGCTGAAAATTTGGGTATGCAGATTTTGTGACTGAAATCTCCAGGCTTTCTTGGAGCTGGGATGGGTTACTTCTCCCCCTATTCCTGGAAGCACTGGTAGTCACCCTCACAAACCAACTCCAGCAACACAATGTACGCTCTTCCACCATGTAAGTCTTAAGTTCAGAGACCCATAAAAAAATCTTGAAAGAGGGGGCTGGAGTGATAGCACAGCGGGTAGGGCGTTTGCCTTGCACGCAGCCAACATGACCGACACAGGTTCGATTCCCAGCACCCCATATGGTCCCCTGAGCACCGCCAGGAGCAATTCCTGAGTGCACGAGCCAGGAGTAACCCCTGAGCATCGCCAGGTGTGACCCAAAAAGCAAAAAAAAAAAAAAATCTTGAAAGAGAAAAAAAATAAAAAGGAATGTATCCTTAAAAAAAAAAAAAAGCGGCAACAATACCTGATACCCACAGGTCACAGGAAAGCACAGGGTAGTTTATCTGATGTTGCCACCTACAGGAAGGCCTTAGAGAGATCCCCCCAAGTTAGGAACCTCTGAATAAAGAACCACGTACTGAGCAGGAGGCTGAGCTAGACCCTGCAAGCCAAGAACCCAGCCTGCTCTGCTAAGCTCTCCTTGAGGGTGTCCTTAGAAGCATATATCTGGGATCTGGCCACCAGGAGTCAAAGAGCAGGACTGCAATCCCCCAGCCACCATCAGCCCCAGCCACCAGCCACCACCCACAGATACCACCCCTTAGCCACCATCACCACCCACTCACCATCACCCCCCAGACACCACCACCCCCAGCCACCAGACGCCACCTCCCAGCCACCATACGCCCAGCCACTGGCCACCAACCCCCAGCCACCATCACCCCCAGCCACCAGCCACCCTCAGAGAGGTTTCTGTGCAGTTATTCGGACTCCCAACAGCTCAGCCTGGTGACTAGACAGCGTCCTGTTCTGTTCTGCTATTTTGTTGGGAGTCGGGAGACAGGAGAGTGTAAGAAATTCATTTTTCAGGGCCCAGGAGAGAGCCTTGTGTCCACCAGGCAGCCCTGCACAACGGATCCCTGAACACTGCCAGGAGTGGCTAAGGCAGCCCCAGAGCACTGTCAGGGTGCCCCCCACCCCCGTCCCACTACCACTGGATCCGCCTGCGTAGTAAGGGCGAAATAGCCAGGAAGGGCTTGAGCCTTTCTTGGGAGGTCCCCCACTCACAAAGAGGAAGAAAGACACTGTCATATCGCTGTACACTGACTACACCAGAAACGAGACTCACAAACCACACTTGGCCAAGCCCGTGACACGCTCCAACACATCCCATTCCAACACATTCTGAGAGTCACAGTAATACCTAACAGCTTCTTTAACAAACAAGGATGGGTGCAGACATAGTACAGCAGGTAAGTCTGTACTATTCCCAGCACCTCACAGTACACACAACACCTCCGAACCCCACCCAGAGTGATTCCTGAATGCAGAGCCAGGTGTCAACCCTGAGCACTGCCAGGGTATGGCCCTGAAACAAAAGCACAAAGTCCAAAAAAAAACACCACCACCACCAACAACAACAACAACAAAAAAACACAATGATGTTGGGCCGGGGGTGCAGCTCCGCAAGATAGCGCTTGCCCGGCAGGTGCCAAGTTCTGAGTTGTGATCCCAGCACCAGCAGAGCAAACACACACACTGCTTCCAGCTCCAGCTCCAGCTCTGTTCCTCCAACACCACCCAGTGACTCGAGAGTTCCATCCTGACGCCAGTCCCACACAAGCAGGGTGCAGGACCTCACCCTGGGTACAGGTGGTCGGTGTGACTGACCAGGTTGGGGGTCCTACAAAACCCCTCAGATCTGATAACCCACCTGCAGGGCGAGCATGACACTTCAGTTACTTTCATTGTGGTTTTTTTTTTTTTAATTTAACCTTTCTTGTGCAGAAAGAAAATCAGTCTCAGTTTCTTAGGTCCAATGTTAAAATTGCTGAATTAAGTAGCTGTGGTTTTGTAGAAACTTGAGTATCCTAAAGAAATGCAGATGAAAATCAATTCCTTGTGCATCTATGGTTATTTATTATTTATTTTACTTTTTGCATGCGACCAATGTGGCCAACCCGGCCGACGCGAGTTTGATTCCTCCGCCCCTCTTGTAGAGCCCAGCAAGCTACAGAGAGTATCTCGCCCACACGGCAAAGCCTGGCAAGCTCCCCGTGGTGTATTAGATATGCCAAAGGCAGTAACAACAAGTCTCACGATGGAGACGTTACTGGGCAAACAGATGAACAACGGGAGGACAGTACAGTACAGTACTTTTTGAAGGGCTAGAGTGATAGCACAGCGGGTAGGGTGTTTGCCTTGCACGCGGCCAACCTGGGTTCAATTCCTCCGCCCCTCTCGAAGAGCCCGGAAAACTACCGAGAGTATCCTGCCCGCATGGCAGAGCCTGGCAAGCTCCCCGTGGCGTGTTCGATATGCCAAAAACAGTAACAAGTCTCATGATGCAGGCATTACTGGTGCCTACTCGAGCAAATCAAGGAACAACAGGAGGACAGAGCTACAATGCTACTTTTTGAGGTAAAATCATTCCCCCCCGCCGAGAACTAAGAGGGAAGGAGACAGAAACAGAGACAGAGAGAAAGACATGGAGGACTCTCCAGAGGGGAAAAGGCCAAGTACACATCCCAGGTTGAGATGAAGGTGTATCTCACGACAGAGAAGCTGCCCACGACTCAGCACAGCCTGGGAGAAGTGCCCTCATGGGCCAGGAGGGCCACGCCACCCTCCAGTGCCCCGCTGCACTTGCCAACCCGGAAACTCTTGGGGCAGCACCATAAGTGCAGGGATTTATGGAAGTTTCGCTGTGTGGGTCCACTCAATTAAATCACTGATGGACAGTGACTGAGCCCTGGCCCGAAGGCCTTTTGGAGCAGGAGCTGGTCCTAGGTCAGGCTTGGCCTTGGGGCCACCGGCCTCCCCAAGGAACACCTGCCCTTTGCCTCGCTCGCCGTATACAAGGGATGAACTCTGGGGATCCCAGGGGAACAGAGGTCCCCCACCAGGAACTAGACCCAACATTTATGTTTTATTACCCCACTGCAACCCACTGAATCGATCTCATTACAGACCATGGGTCACAACCCGCAACCTGTAAAACCTGTAGTACCATCGTTATAGAGAACAGGACTGATTCATGAGCGGATAATGACCACAAGGATGCAAGGAGAAACTCTCCCAGCCCGCGGCCCCTCTATTAGGAACAGCTTCTTCCTAGCCACTGGTCGCCTTCGGC